GAAGAAGAATGAAAAGAAGAATGAGAAGAAGAATGAGAAGAAGAATGAAAAGAAGAATGAAAAGAAGAATGAAAAGAAGAATGAAAAGAAGAATGAAAAGAAGAATGAAAAGAAGAATGAAAAGAAGAAGAAGAAGAATGAAAAGAAGAAGAAGAATGAAAAGAAGAATGAAAAGAAGAAGAAGAAGAATGAAAAGAAGAATGAAAAGAAGAATGAAAAGAAGAAGAATGAAAAGAAGAAGAAGAAGAATGAAAAGAAGAAGAGGAAGAATGAAAAGATGAAAAGAAGAAGAAGAAGAATGAAAAGAAGAAGAAGAAGAATGAAAAGAAGAAGAAGAAGAATGAAAAGAAGAAGAAGAAGAATGAAAAGAAGAAGAGGAAGAATGAAAAGATGAAAAGAAGAAGAAGAAGAATGAAAAGAAGAAGAAGAATGAAAAGAAGAATGAAAAGAAGAAGAAGAAGAAGAATGAAAAGAAAAAGAAGAATGAAAAGAAGAAGAATTCCAGTACAGCAAAAAGTGTATCTGCAGAGAGCTCCGCTATTTCTGACAGTTCTCTGACAGTTCCTTCACATTTACAGCGGTTGAAACATTGTATCTATTTATTTCCGAATAAAAACATCTGTATCCTAAATGGAAACAAATAGATACAATGTTTCAACCGCTGTAAATGAACTGTCAGAAATAGCGGAGCTCTCTGCAGTGACACTTTTGCCGGCTGATCGGGGAAAATTCGATTCGTGCACCCGAAGTTTGCTAAAATTCGGATTCGATGCGAATCGAATTTTTCCTGATATTCGAAACGAATTCCACTTCGCCAAGTTCGATTCGCTCATCTCTAGTAACTATATTGTCTCCCTTTAAATTGTAAAGTGGTGCCAAACTGTTAGAGCTGTATAAATCCTGTATATTATTAATGTGCATTAAAAGGCAAGTGATCAACAAATTAAATCACTAAACAGTGCATATATGTCCAATAACACAATGAGCCAACTTGCTTGTTAGCAGTGTTAAAGGGTGTGTCACAGTGTATACACAGGGCTGGATTTATATCTCAGGAGCCTATAGGCAGAGAATTCTGAAGCACTCACCCACCCCCCGAAAAAAGAACAGTAGGACTGACTTTTTTTTTTCTTGATAAAAATATTTATATAAAAAGATTTTATATGTGTAAAGGGGAGCACTACGGACTATGATGTAAAGGGGAACTCTGATGTCAGGGGGTCTCTGGTCACCAGAATCTCCTTTACACAAGAGTCCCCAGAGTTCCCTTTACATCAGAGTCCTCAGAGTTCTCCATGACTGACACATGACTTAGACTGCAGGCATGATACTAGAGATGGTCAGAGACTGTGTACCTGGCACAAGAGATGGCCAGAGACTGCAGACATGACGCAAGAGATGGTCAGAGACTGCAGACATGGTACAGGAGATGGTCAGAGACTGCAGACATGGTACAAGAGATGGTTAGAGACTGCAGGCATGATACTAGAGATAGCCAGAGACTGTGTACTTGCCATAAGAGATGGTCAGAGACTGCAGACATGGTACAAGAGATGGTCAGAGACTGCAGACATGGTACAAGAAATGGTCAGAGACAGCAGACATGGTACAAGAGATGGTCAGAGACTGTGTACCTGGCACAAGAGATGGTCAGAGACTGTGTACCTGGCACAAGAGATGGCCAGAGACTGCAGACATGACGCAAGAGATGGCCAGAGACTGCAGACATGATGCAAGAGATGGTCAGAGACTGCAGACATGGTACAGGAGATGGTCAGAGACCACAGACATGGTACAGGAGATGGTCAGAGACTGCAGACATGGTACAGGAGATGGTCAGAGACTGCAGGCATGATACTAGAGATAGCTAGAGACTGTGTACTTGCCATAAGAGATGGTCAGAGACTGCAGACATGGTACAAGAGATGGTCAGAGACTGCAGACATGGTACAAGAAATGGTCAGAGACAGTAGACATGGTACAAGAGATGGTCAGAGACTGTGTACCTAGCACAAGAGATGGCCAGAGACTGCAGACATGACACAAGAGATGGTCAGAGACTGCAGACATGGTACAGGAGATGGTCAGAGACTGCAGACATGGTACAAGAGATGGTTTGAGACTGCAGGCATGAAACTAGAGATAGCCAGAGACTGTGTACTTGCCCATAAGAGATGGTCAGAGACTGCAGACATGGTACAAGAGATGGTCAGAGACTGCAGACATGGTACAAGAAATGGTCAGAGACAGCAGACATGGTACAAGAGATGGTCAGAGACTGTGGACATGGCATAAGAGATGGTTAGAGACTGCAGGCATGATACTAGAGATGGCCAGAGATTGGTTTAACAGACTTGGCCGGTTTACTCACTGCGTCTGTGTCCCTTTTCGCAGAGTAGTGTGTGTCCTCTGTGGCAGTGCTGAGTCAGCACCATGTCTATTTGCTTTAGTGTCATCCTGCCAGGCTGGCGGTAGTAGACTGCACTGGAAGGCACAGCGGGACTGTGAGCAGCTATTAGCAGAGAATGGAGCAGCGCATCCAAGCGGTATTGCGGCTGGGGAGAGGATCAACTGTGGGACGGGAGCTACGGTGAAGTAGATCCTCTCATGCCGCACTTGGCCATGCCCCCTCCAGTCCTCCTTAGTTATTTGTAAAAGGTGCCAAGCAGTGCCATGACAACACTGGCTGCATGCTCTGGCCACCCCCCTGGACAGATGTTTGGCAGTCCTGCACCCGAGCCCCATACATGTGTATCATGGACTGTCCTGCAATGATGGCCCTACAGACGGACACCTGTAGGCACATGCTAACAGTGCCTATTGGGAAATCTGTGCCTGTGTGTACAGCAGGGGTCTGCAAACCAAAGCAGACGGGTCATATTTGGCACACTACAAGATTTTATCTGGCCCAAGTCTAGGGTCTGTGGTGTATCCTGAATGTGCACAAATTGAGGATTCAGGTCAGCATAGGCTGCCTATGGTCTCCACTGTTCCCCCTTTCAGAATCTCTGGCAGGTTCCCACCAGCACCCTGATGGGGACACTGATTCAAGGGGCGACTCTGATGGGGACCCTGATTCAAGGGGGGACTCTGATGGGGACCCTGATTCAAGGGGGGACTCTGATGGGGACCCTGATTCAAGGGGGGACTCTGATGGGGACCCTGATTCAAGGGGGGATTCTAAAGGCGACCCTAATGTTAGCGGGGGACTCTTTTGGGGATCTTAATACAAAGGAGACACTGTTGGGGATCCTAATTGATTTATATAACTGTTTTTTGGTGTGTTGTTTATTTCCTGCAGAGTTTTCCATTAATTTAAAATGAAACAACTGTTGTACTTTATCTCTGTGCAATAATTTCCTTTGATAAAAATCGGTCACTGCTGTTCTCTCTCCTTGTGCAGTGTGAATGGTCTTGTATACATCCCCTCCTGTAGTTTTCTCCAGTCAGCCTGTAATGGAAGGTCCTGCTGCGCCCTTTTTACAGCTCTGCTCTCTGCAGAGGATATATGGAGCACAAAGATAATTTCACTGCTACTTTTGCAAGGTGATATCTGGGTTTATATTCTATGGGGGAGATTTACTAAAACTGGTGCAGCTGTGCATGGTAGCCAATCAGCTTCTAATTTCAGCTTGCTCATTTAAGATTTGAAAATAAAACCTGGAAGCTGATTGGTTCCTATGCGGAGCTGCACCAGATTTTGCACCATGCAATTTTGGTAAATAACCCCTTATGTGGCTAATGAAGAATATATTTAATTGTAATTTATTTTGTGCCGGAAATTATGCACACTTTAACTGAAAAGATATATATGTATACTGTTTGAATTTAAAGTATTAGTTCACCTCTACAGCAAAAATGTAAAGGTTAACTACAACTGCTACACCATACCACAGGACCTGTACTACCAGAACTGCTATACCACACCACGGGACCTGTACTGCCAGAACTGCTACACCATACCAGAGTACCTGTACTAGCAGAACTGCTATATTGAACATGGTACCTTTAATTCCAGAACTACTACACTGTATCATGGTACCTGTATTTCCAGAACTGTTATACTGTACCACGGTACCCATACTGCCAGAACTACTACTTTGTACACAATACCTGTACTTGCATAATCACAACACTATACCATGGTACCTGTAGTTGCAGAACTGCTACACTGTACCACAGTACCTGCACTGCCAGAACTGCTACACTGTACCACAGTACCTGCACTGCCAGAACTGCTACACTGTACCACAGTGCCTGCACTGCCAGAACAGCTGCACTGTACCATGGTATCTATACTACTAGAGCTGCTACATAGTGACATGATGCAGAGCCAAATTTGAGAACACTTCACTGCCAGAACTTTAAAACTGTAACACAATACCTGCACTAACAAAACTAACCCAGGCCAGTAATGGAAAAGCCATTTGAAGAAACCAAAATTATTTGGTTTCTTTCACACTTTCTTCCAATTTTAGGGCTGTCCACTTACTTTTTTCTTTTTATGTACTGCCTCCTCTGATCTGGATTTTACTGTGGGGAACAATATTAATAATGGTAAAAATAATTTCTAGGTGGTTTGTAAGGATCACAAATGTGGAAGCAATCATTTGCAAAGCACCATTTCCATAGGTTCTGATTGTCTGCTGTAGCAAACCCCAATCTCCAACCACATCCTTGGCAATGCTGAAGATGATTACCCAACTTATAAAGAATGTCCGCAAATTTAACAATGCATACCACATATTATGGGCAGCCCTTAGTTGATATTAAGGGCCACACTTGAGGCCTCCTTTATCTAGTAAGTTGGCCACCACTGAGTTACATTCAAGAGCATTTAGAAAATGAAGGAAACTGGCAAAACCTGGAATTTATAAAGCAAAGTATCCAACTGATTAGGATGAAAGTTAGCAGCAATCTGTATGCTTTATATTAGTTTACATACAAAATGTAATGCTTGACTAAAGTCTACCTCTGGTGATCAGATGAACTGTACTTACTGATCGACGAACATCCTTTGTTGAAAGATCAATCAGCTTCTTATTCATGGACCATTCTTCATCAGATTCCATGATTGCTTTCTGTACCCAAAATATAAGCCAACAGTACATATCTGTAAGTTCAAAGTTACATCTCTGCTTTATGTTCTGTAATTTTAAGATCCAATTCTCCCAAATCAAAAGCACATCAAAAGACTGCAAAGTGTAGCTCCAAGCAAAAACAAAAACAAAAAAACTTGAATATTTAGAGTTGGCCACATATTTAAGAAGGCTGTCGAATGTTTAGATAAAAAGCACTGAAAGACTTATTACCCAAATTGAGTAGGACATACGTATGTACAATACTGCCAGAACTGCATATATATTGCCAGAACTATAAATATTATATATGTAAGGCGGTGCGTAAATTGACAGCGCTATACAAGTACCTGTAATAATAATATTTAACAGGCTATCGGCTTGAATATCAAACATGGCTAATATACCTTCCCTATGCTCCACCGTAAAGCAGAACTAGAGATTTACATAATTTTTTCACACAGAGCAGCTACTCAATGGCTTCTTCATTCAGCAATTTCATCACTCTCTCACCAATCTCACACAGGGAAGGAAAGAGAAACCCTCCTTGGGTGCTAAGCTTGGGGGGGCACAGGTGGAATGAGAGCATCTCCTGCCTCCATATCACCTGGCTTCAGTGCAGGACTGAGCATGGGATAGTGTGGCACAACCTGTGTAAATAGCAGAGCTCTGCTGTCAGTGTGACTGCCACCCAACTGTACAAAGTGCAGAGAGGAGCTGTCAAATTGACAGCAGAGCTATGTCAATTACACAGGGAGGGCAGTGCTCTTCCTGTGTAATCTATAAGACTGAGCTGTCAGTTTGTCAGGTGGGTTTAACCACTTTCCCTTCCGGACAAATTGCCCCCCTTTATGACCAGGCCATTTGTTTTTTATACGGCGCTGCCCTACTTTAACGGTCAATTGCATGGTCATACAACACTATACACAAATTAAATTTATATAATTTTTTTCACACAACAGAGCTTTCTTTTGGTGGTATTTGATCACCATTTGTTTAAAATTAAAAAAAAAAAATATTATATATATATATATATTTTTTTTTTTAACTTTTTGCTATAATACAATTAAAAAAAAAAATGTCTTTATTAATTTAGGCCAAAATGTATTCTGCTACATGGCTAAATCCCAATAAGTGTATGATAATTGGTTTGCGTAAAAATGATAGCGTCTACCAACAATGGTATAAACACTGGAATTTTTTTTTTTTATACTAGTAATGACGGCGAACAGCAACATATAGCGGGACTGTGATAGTATATCGGGCATTGTGACACTGGGTGGGAACTGACTAACTGCCACTAACCTCTCCAGTGAAGCTAATACAGTGATCAGTCCTAATGAAAAGCTGACACTGTGCTAATGACATTGGGCAGGAAGGGGTTAACATCTCGGGCGATCAAAGGGTTAATTATGTGCCAGGGAGTGTTAATACTGTGTACTGTGTGGTGTTTTACTAGGTGATGTGCTGGTTTTTATTCCCTGCATTGCAGGGAGATAAAGACCCGCACATCCCCGCTGAAAAGAAAGCGGACCTGTGCTGTTGACATACACAGATCTCTTTCCGCTGATCGCTGGGTCCCGGCCATGAATCGCTGGCCGAGACCCGGTGATTGACACGTAAGGAAGCCAATGACTGCATGGGTAGGCGGGCCCGTACACTCCTTACCCGGAAAAGCAGAATGATGTATGTATATGTGATTCTGCACAGTAAAGCTACATAGGCCGGCCGGAAAGTGGTTATACACATTGTAATACCCCTGCCATTCCTTCCTAAATATTAAGCAAGTCTACACTGAGTTGAGGGTCACTTTAAAGTGTATCTAATCCCAAGTACAAAAAATTTTATATTTTGTAGCTTACTTGTCCTTGGAGGTGGAAGCTGCATTAGTTTTTTTCCCACACTGTTTTGTTTTTTTTACCCAATTATCCTGCCGAGGACACACTTCCTATCCTGGGGTGTCAATGCCTTGCTGTATTGTATCTATGAAGGAGCAGCATTGTCACCCAAAGACAAGAAATATGTTACAACTACAGAATTCCCCTTGTCATAACATAGAGGGAGGTGTTCTGTAGTCACATAGGTAACCTGGCCGGGAAGTGCTTGAGATAAAAGCTGCAGACTGTAGAACACAGAACAACACTGGATTTCCAGCAGAAATGACATGACTGTTCTGTGGTTATTGAACAGATATAAGAAAACTTTTGCAATAGAATATTTACCAGCCCAAAAGGGAGCAAATAAGAGAAGTCCAGTTTTAAGATTTACATATGCTTTAAAGGCCCACTGAGTGAACACAAATGCGAAGATTCTCCAACACATACATTTGAATCTTCACACAAAATCTCCCCACTGAATGAGACTGACAAGTGAGCACAGAGATTACTGCAGACAACATGGCAGAAGGTGTCACAATTTCATAAACCTCTTCCAACATAACAAGTGCAGCAGCAGAAGTAAAGACAGAAGAGGCAGCAAGTGTCAAGTACAAATGTAATGTCGACAAGTTTTGCCTAATGAAATCCTGCTGGGTTTCAGTGTCATTCTGCTGAGCCACGTGTAGATGGAGGTCCTGTGTCAGTCGCTTATTCTGAGTTCTATTTTGCCTCGGCTGCTGAATACATTGAGGTGTGATTTATGTGCGCAATATCCAGCCATGAATCTCTGATAATGAGTTTTTAGTTGGTCTGTAGGAAATCCGTCTACGCGGAGAATTGTTGTCTGATTGAAAAGATGTGATCTTTAGCCTGCCTTTTTCGGGACTTCAGATGCAATTTTATTCCAGGCTCTAGTAAGTTAAAAGTTAGACTTTTCTGTGATAGAGACTGAAAAAAGTTACCTTCTTGCATATTATTTTATATACCTTTGGGGGGCAACTAAAAACATTATAACAAGATGTATTCCATAAAAAGCAAGCAATGAAAAAACGAAGTACAAAAAATTATTTCAACTTTTCAACCTATCCTCCACGGGAATAAAAGCAAACCTGTCAGAGGCCTGGACATGTAAAAAAGAGATGGGGTAATATATTCATCAGGTGAGGTTAACAGTGAAAACAGCATGTCAAACTGATCAGTAGATGCTGAGCTATGTGCAACACCAACTCTGGTTATCTCTGGACTGGATGGTTTAGTATATTGTAGTTATTGAGGAAAGTTGCTATGTGGTACCGTTAATATGAGAGATTGTTACCACTGTATTTTTGATCCTTTAAATCTGTTTATTTGTTGCCTCCTCTGTGTCCCACTCCCCTCTCTTGAAGAAGCGGATTAATCCATGAAACACGCTGAGGATTGGGACATTTCCCTTTTTTCCCCTGGAATAAACTTTATCAAATTAAGGAAAGTAATCAGTGTATTGACTCATTTAACTAGTATTAATTGACCAAGGGGATAGGATAGGCCCACTTAGGGTTTGTGTATTATGTAGAGGGACAATATGAAAGTTTTTTATTGTGATGTTTTTACTCGTACTTTAATAAAGAGATTGTTTTTATAATCCAATGTATAAATTATCCTTATGCACCAAAAAGCCCATTGTTGCCCCAATTGTTTTTTCTCTACTATTAATGAAGGTGCAAGTTAATTATATCCACCAACCAACCTCTAGTATATAGCTATTGTGCTATGGGTAGTTGAACTTATATGCAGATTGCAACTCTTCTTGTAAAACCCAAGCTTAGCCCCGACCCCAAGCGACAAACCTTTCTTTCCTATAGGCCTCATTCACAGATGCGGTACCCTCAAAAAGTGATCTATGCTGGGATTGCCAGACATTTAGGAGGCGATACTGCTGCCTCCTACTTGCCCTAATTTTTTTCTTAGCCAAACTGGAATTTTCTATTGAAATGCCAAACTGCAACCCCAAGAAAAGTGCTTGGTTCACGGTTGCAACATGGCCCTATTCACTTGCATGGGTCCTGTTTGGTGGCTGTATTAAATGCCAAATGCAGCATACTGTAGAATGTTTGCCATGCAGCAAAGCAAGCAATGTGGCAGTGACAATATGTATTACCCCCTCCGACTGCCATTACAAAGTTTAGGAGGCTGGTCAGGGGCAGTAAAAATGATGATCAACTGCCTGTTTTTACTGTCCTGTGGCCACCCATGTAAATAAGGCATATTAATGTAACTCACAGCTTCATTGACCAACAGGGAGGCTTAGGTCAGGAAAGAAACAAGTTTACAGGAATTTAAGACTTATCTGATATTTTAGCGATCTGTATTTCTGGATCCACTGATTATTCTGGGCACATGGTTTTCAATGAACCAACGTCTGCTAATGCATTTAGCTCATCGTATGCTACATTTAAATTGCTCAGGTTTGTGACAGGTTTATGGTATACGAGTATAAAAGTGAGCGCAGGTTTACTTTAACTTTGTAAACAACACTTCTAGAATAAATGTGGGAAGGCCTGTTCACACCATCATGCATTAAACATCTTATGAGCCTTGGTGGGACGGGGGACGGGGGAACTTGAACATGGTGTCATGAGCAGCGTGAGCTCTTACAGTAATGAGACAAGCGGAGTGCCTGACCTTCCCAATCCGACCTGAGGGAAGCCCAGGCTGAAGAGGAGCAGAGGGGGCCGCGGTCTATCGGCGGCCGGACAATCCTGACGGTGACTGGTGTGGGCAGTGGACCTTTGCAGAGTCAGGTCCCCAGAGCGGTTTGTGATCAGCAGCGGGCGCGAGGAGTGCAGGAGATCTGAGTCCTCAGCGGGCCGGGAGCGGGTGGCTCTGGCTAGGAGCGCCAAGGTAACAGAGGACTTCCCATTCCAAGGGGGAAGTCCCAAATCTCCGGGAGAGCAGGGATGCACTGCGGAGCAAACAAGGCTACAGAAGGACCCCTCCAGTGTGGTGATAGATACCAACCTCAGGAGACCTAGAGACCCCAAAGACCATCACTTATGCATAGAGTCCCCCCACAGGTATGTTTGGAAGCACGATGCGGAGGCCTCAGCCAAAGAGTGAACAGGGACTGATCGGTACTGAATGGTCGGT